CGCAATATTGAACGCTGGCATGTTGAACGGGAAATATGTCCAGAGCAGTGACGGTTGGGAGGAGACGCTCCAAGTCAACACCCTCAGCACGTTCCTGCTGGGCATTCTTGTCTTACCACTCCTCATTGCCGCAGCAGACTCGGGCAACAATAAAGACTACAAGCCCCACCTCACGTTCGTCTCCTCTGGCACTGCCTGGATAATCAAGCCGGAGCAGATGAAGACATTTATCGCCAGCGAAACGCCTCTGGAGGACCTGAGTGCGCAACAGAATTTCCCCCCCGGGATTGCTGGTGGAGCAACACAATACGGCACGTCCAAGCTGGTGCTCGAGTACGCAGTTCGTCACCTCGCTGCATCACCTGCCGTCCAGGGTGCTGATGGCAAGCCCAAAGTCATCATCAACACTACCTGCCCGGGCCTGTGCAAAAGCGACCTGGGACGCAATGTGGGTACCAACTTTTTAATCAGGTTCATCCAGTGGCTCATGCACAGCATCTTCTCTCGAACGGCCGAGCAGGGTGCGAATTCCTACCTCACAGCACTGGTCCGCGGCGAGGAAACCCATGGGGAGATGTGGAAGAATGATCGAGTATTTGAGCCAGGCCCGATGCTGAAGACCGAAGAGGGAAGGGCGTTTGGTGAAAAGGTGTGGAGCCAAGTACTGTCGGTCATCCTCAAAGCGGATCCCAGCACGAAGGCTTTCTTTGGTTGAGCTGTCGACTCTTCGCCTTTACTTGATTGGCAGCTTTCAAGGCAGGCTGTTGGTGCATAGTCATGAGTTCTGTTCAGCTGGAACTAGCTTGCTATCAGTGGACGATGTGTCTTTGCTGAGTCGAAGACGCAGAAATATACAGTTCTGAAGGGTTATAGGAGCAGGGCAGTTATAACTCGGGTGAAATTGGGGATCATCGACCCTCGGATCTTCGGTGATGCTGCCAATGGGCAAACGGGATCGGTTCTGAAGCCCATCATATACTCTTTCCAGGCTTGCCACTGCACTTTTGTTATACACGAGATCCCAGCGGAGCAACAACTTCGAAGAAATATCAATCGCATGTCTTCTATTTTCCTTTTCTTTTCCCCTTTCAAGGACCCTTCCTCACAGTCCCGTGAGTTTTAGCATGTAGTACCACGGCTCAATGTAAAATGCCTAGCAAGGACTCTTGATTAGCAATCCCCGTGTGTTGACGGTCGCACCAATCAAGTTGACCGGTCGGCAAGAAAAGCTGATGTGTTGGCAAGAGCTGACAGGTCGCCCTCCCCAGCGTGCGCTCACCATCGCGGAGTGCGGCAAGCCAGTCGCTCTACTGGACTAAACTGCAAAAGAGGAGCAAAGAACAAGAGATGCACAGACAGACCGACCGACCGACCGATCGACCCGACCGTTTTTGAGGCTCGTGGGCGGGCACAAAAAAGGGTGACCTTGAAAGGATCTGGGCGATTGTCGATGAGGTGCATGCCCATCTAAATCATCTTTTCCTCTTTTTCTTTTAACAAATTCCGTCCCTCCCCTTCTTCCTCCCTCTTGTCCCCCCGTTTTATGTGACCTTTCTTTCCACCCCGCTTTTTCCGACGACCGCGAAAACTGACGATAATTGTAATCTTCGTATTCACGACCGGAAGAAAAAAAAGTGGGTCGCTTGGTTCATTCGTTGTGTTCGTCCGTCCTGGGCTTCTTCCTTTTCTTCGGGAAGGGAAGCGAGTACTCTGTTGACTGTTGGTTTCGATCTGGCAAAGCCCACCCAAAAATAAGAAGATACGAAAGGTACTGAGTACAGTACAAAACCCTCGTACGACACGCTCCGGGCGCCCGCACCTCCCTCTCCCCCTCCCCGCACCCATTTCACGCCCGATTAGGCTTATCGATAGCGTGACTTCCAGCGCCGGCAACCTCCCCATTGCCAATGCCCATGCCGACATCATGATTCTGGTAAGTCCACACCACGCCACCCAATTAATCACCCACCATCGTGGAAGAGGCCGGCTTCTGCGTGTGATGCCATGCTCACTCAAAGGCAGGACTGTCCGCCGCCAGTGTGTCAAGTTTCCCTCCATGTCCACGATCCAGCCTCGATGCGGTTGTAACTCGATTCCGGGCACACCTGTTCAGCTCGTAGCATCAGGACTGACCAGTCCCAAAACCTCGCCCAACAAGCCAGACAAAGAGGTTCCGGGGTTGTTTCGCAGCCTTATGTATTCCAGAAACACGGGCACCAGATCCGCCACCGCGGTGCAGGTCATTCAGGATGACGACGCTGCATCCATGGCATCCACAGCCGCCACCACGACCACCACAGATGCAGTACCACCCTTGACCAGTGAGACTTCGACCGACTCATCTGGGGCGTCTTCGGCAGACACAGATATGGCCAGTAGCATACTCGGAGATGGATACATGCTGGAATCACAAGATGGTGTGTTGACGGTGCCGTTCCGATATCACGAGGACGCCGATCTGCTCTGTCCGTTCCAGATCCTGGACTGCGATCAGGTGTTTGCAGACATCATCCACTTCAAGATGCATGTGTTTTCGCACTTCCGCGGACATGAATTGCCGACCTTTGCCACCTGTTTCCTGTGCGACAACAAGTACGTCTCGCGGCCCGAGGACGATCCGGCGTTGGCGTGGAACACCATGCTGTCCCATATGGTGCACGACCACTTTCGGCAGGGCCAACAGCTGGCGACGGTGAGGACCGACTTTGGCCTGATGAAGTGGATGTACAACCGAAGGATCATCAATGACCAACAGTTCAAGAGAACCCAGTTACTCCCTTACCAGACCATCCTCCCTGGCGCTGCCGGCACGTCGAGACGACAAGTTGTCCATATGGCAGAGTTACCGCATGCCCCCTCAGCATCGCCACCAGCAGCTGTCAGAGCTCACCTCGCCTTGTCAATGGGGTACCAGAACGAGCCCTATACGATGAATGCTGGACGGAGGCAAGAAAGACGTCGACTTGATGCCACTCGAACCATGGTCCGAGCACACAGTTATATGTGACGCTTCACACCCTTGCCGAAGTTGCGCAGGTGAACGAAGTTGCCAAAAAAAAAAAGAAAAAGAAACGAGCAACGATTCTGAGCAACAAGAGAGCTCATTTCAAGCTGGAAAAGGCGGCCTAGGCACGGCTGTGGCTGTGGCTGGGCTGGGCTTGCCTACCCACGCATCGCATTGGATCCTGTCGGGTACTGTTTTCTTTCAAGCTCCGGCGAAGGCGTTTGGTTGCATTTTCAGTGACTCGGGATTTCCTCCATATTCGAGCGAGGACATATTCAGATGGGTTTTTTTTCTCTCGAGGAGCAGATGAACAACCGAGTTTTGGAGCTAGGAAAAGGGGGCTTTTTCTTTTTCTTCCTCTTCTTCCTAGTGGGACGTTACTCACCGATTTACCATCTCCCTCTTCACTTCTTCCCCTCGCCAGCGAGTTTCATTTTGGGGATGCGGTTTTTCTTTTTGCAATAGTAATGGATGGCATGTTAAATAATCATGGGCAGGAGCCGCTTTGCTCACCGTCACGATGAATAGAGCCCCGCGGAAAGGTCTCTTCGTTGGTTACGGGATGACTTTGAGTGAGTGATTCAGTGAGGAAGAGCATCTCGTGTAATCTTTGCGGTGGGCTTTGGGTACCTTGTGCTTTCGAACCAAGTGGAAGGGAGGGAGGGAGGGAGGTGTGTTCTTGGCGACTCTCCCTTTTGTCGTTGTCCTGGTCGCTGTAACTCGAAATGGAAAACCACATTTCTTTTTGAAAACACCCAAAAGACTTGCGCGAGACGAGTAGGTAGATGGTTCAACCATAAGTCATGCATGCCGATGTACAAGGTACTTCTCTCTGCAGTGGTAAGGCTGCAGATGGGGAAAAAAGGACACAAATATAAAACGTGGTGGTGAAGGCGGCCGCGCCCCCCCTTCCAAGACTTGGTGGGATTGGTGTCTTGCGTCAATAATGGGAGGAATTATTAGTAACGGGCGGCCAGCATGTGGCGCAGCGGGCGTTTCAAGGCGTTCCGTCACCATGACCCATCAAGGGAGGATCTGATCTGCTGGATTTGTTTCCGGGCGGGCAGGGAGACGAAACGAACCAAAAACAGATGGCTAGGACAGGAGGTCCTTCCCTTCCAAGCACCAGAATAAACGGGCCTGATGTATCTAGAGATCTCAGAAGTACTCGGTTCCTGGGGATAAAAGAGAAAAGACGAATGAATCAGGGAAACAAGATGCTTTTGGAGAGCAGAGACAAAGATGACAGGGTGACAACCCCCTGATCAGCGCCCTGACTTGGTCTAGAACAACGCGTGTTGTAACGGCCAATCACTCTCTCAAGAGATGCTCGCGTGGTCCCATGGTCATGTTCGAGGTCATGCGCCTCCAATCCTTGTCGAGACATGCCTCGCAATCCTCTCTCATCACATACTGGTGTTGAAGGCTCTGTCGCTCTATTTTGGGCCTACGGACGAGGTTGACCCTGCCTGATATGATCTTCGGAATAAGTATTCAACCGTTTCCTAATGCCGGTGATACGTCGAATAGTCTGTCTACATTTGGATCGCATACAAGTACATGGAAGAAGCGTGGCGGCGCAAAGCCGACTGGATGGGGCTGTTAACTCCACCGAACGCGAAACCCACAGTGCCCAGGCAGTGATTGTGTACCGTTTCGGTATATCAGTGGTGAGACCAAAGGCTTCTCCTGCGAAAACAACCGTTAGTCGTGTTCGTTGCATCCCCTTGAACAATTGACACAGGAACGACACTGCGATCAGACAGCAGTTGGTACAATTTATGCTTCCACAACGAGTTTCAGAACAGGTCTGTGTGAAATTGTGCTTCATCAGGCAGATATGGAACGGGCATGTCACAACAGAATGGGGGTGGCTTACCTCCACTTCTCAACAGTCTTCAATTGCAACTTCTCTCAAGTGGTCAAAGATCGGAAGGGGCGCATGCTAACCCCATTTCCTTCGCACTTTGGCAGGCGTGTCTCTTCAAGTTGGGGTTCATGTGATAGAGCCGCGGCCACCTGAAGGTCGCTTGAAGAAGCCATCCAGAGTCTGTTGCTTTGCATCATAGGGAGACGATCCCAGCCCGCCTCTTGTACGCTTCAGATCTTGGAGGTGATCTTTACTGTTAATGCCGTGAATGGTCATGGAACATCCCTTGAGCGGGTATGAAGGGATGTCCGTCGATGCCAAAGGCTGTGCCATCTGAGATTGATGGGCAAGTTCGGACGAGGGTCTCTCGATTGTAAGTTCCAAAAATCCGGTGTTGGTCCACGATGGCAGGTGTTCCAAGGAGCGGACACCCCAAGCCTCGACCTTCGGCGCTAGCGCAACAGTGTTGCTGTTAAATTTTCTCAGCAGTGTCCGCCACAGCACAGATAGAAAGAGGCCATGAGAAACGACCGCAACGCATTCCTGCGTTGCCGTTGTGGCATCCAATGCACCACGGGCAAAGTGTGGGAGGATGAAGTCGTCCAGAAACGATTCCGCCCTTCTCACCATAGTCTCGGTCGTCTCTTGAGGGCGAAAAGATTCATGTTGGGGGTAAAGTACCCCGGGGTCGAGATGCTGCAGCACTCTCCTCGAGTTCCATGGAACGAGCTCCAATGAGCCAAAGTCCTGCTCACGAAGCAGTTCGAGTTTCACGACTTTGGGGACAACTTCGGCGGAGAGCTTTGCGGCTTGGTTTCTGTGAAGCTCTTCAGCGGTCATGAAAGCTCGTTGAAGATCCGAGGCGTAGATTTTGGTAAACCTCAAGTTACGGTGAGTGGTGAGATAATGACCCAGTCGTTGGGTCTGCAGGACACCATGGTTGGTCAACCTGGAGTCAGAGACCCCTGCAAGAAGCCCAGCAACATTATGCTCTGTCTCTCCATGTCGGATGAAAAATAGATGCATGGGAGTAAAGCCGTAAAGCCAACGGATAGGTTGATGGCTTTGAGAACGACAGGAAAAGACAACAAAAAACCTAAGCCCAAACTTGCTCCGCAGATCAGCAGATGGTAAAGGGAAAGTCTGCCGGAATCGAATTTCTGCTTCGCGGCTTGCGAGTTTAGGCGACTTCCTCTTCTCTGCAATATTGCATTTTGATAACCAGTTCTCTTATCTACATCTCTATTTCCGTCACAATGGACAGGTTGGTCTCTTGTTGCAATCGTCTTCGCGTGGACTCGCTGACGTCGTCTTAGCCTCACTCCCGCCGAACAGAGGGAGCTCAATGCTCGTATGGAGGCAAAGCAGCTGAAAGAATTCATGAAGGTAAGGATTATTACAGCCCATGCTATGACACAGATTTTCCCTTTTGACGGTTGATCTGACCTGACCTGGGCTCCATGCTAGACCTATTCCAACCTCGTCCAACGGTGTTTTGACGATTGTGTCAACGATTTCACAACAAAGTCATTGATCTCGAGAGAAGAAGGCTGTGTGATGCGCTGCGTGGATAAATTCCTGAAAGGTTCGGAGAGATTAGGGGCCAGGTTTCAAGAGCAGAATGCTGCCATGATGCAATCCGGACAGCTGCCAGGCCGATAAACGTCAACCCACCAGCCATATTGGATTTACAGAGACACATTTGTACGATATGGGAAGGGTGTGTGCGGACTATTGGCACGACAACTGATTTGGACGTGTCGGCCTGGTATGGAATGCGGTCATGTTTGGAAAACGCGGTGACATCCTCAATCTGTTGAAGAGAAACTTGGGCGATCGGAGGGACGTAGGGCAATGGCTCCAACACACAACGTCTCTTTCCTCCCTTTCTCAAGAAAATGCAAGTTTCGATCCAGGATCAAAGGCATGTCATAATGTTGGTGCAAGTGAAGTCATTGGGGATTCCAGGGCAGAGTGTTAGCATGGACGAGTACGCAAGAAAAAGGGGCTATACGGTTGATTGAGGTCCACCAAAGCGTGCCAAAAAAATAGTGAGACTGCTCAATGAGGATGAAGTATTCGCCGATCCATTGCGGTTGCTGTACTGTTAGAAAAACCCAAGAGACTCTTGTCTGAAGATCATCTCAGTCACAAATTGACAAGACTCTTATTCGCAGCAGGTGAATATCCGTGACGTTGATCTTCTACGTCAGCGCCTCCCTAGGAGCAGCTGGGTCAAATACCGCCGGTACAGAATTGTGGGATTAAACTGTGTTGCCACCAGCAGGTACCGGGCTTCTGTTCAGCTTGACCAGAGTCCTGCGACGGTTCATCAGATCTGCTGCACTGCAGGCCAATGGGGAAATGTAGAGGTCAGAGCGCCACAGTGAGGCGCAGGTGGTGTTGGGTGACAGAGTAATTCGATACGATGGCGCATTTGTACCTCGTACAGGTGTACAGGTGCACAGGTGCGCAGGCACGTAGGTACGAGTCTTTGGGGCTCGAGGGTTGGTTGGCGGTGAAGCCATACGAGCCGTAAGCGGTTCTCAGACAAATTTCAGGGCCTGTCCACCGCCCACGGCACTCCCCCTTTAACGAGCTTCCACTACAGCCGCTATTCGGAGGCTAGGGGCGTCGCCCATCAAACCCTTTTGCCCTTATGACTATGGTGGAAACGAACCCAAGCTCTTTCAGCTCCTTCCAGGCCTCACCTCCCTGGACTGGGGGTTCCCTCTTGTCGCTGCTGGGTGTCAGTCAAGAGCCAAGTGTTCCCGGTTAGGCGAGCTGCTAATTGGGGCTCCGTCCTCTTCCCGCCCTGCTCCCGCCCTGGACGAACGAGGATCTATATCCCTACCAAGGAGGAATTATTTTATGGAGGCACGGGTAAGCCTTGCTGCTTTGTCGGTTCCACTCTCGCGAACTTCAACTCTATCCTGTCTTATTATTTCAGCTCGACTCAATTTTTTTCTCCTGGTCCCTCGGTGTACTCTCTACCTTCATTCGCCTGTTAGGGAGTGTATTCTTTTTGACGGATCTCGACTTCTCTGCCTTTTCCCATGCTATCTGTCGCCTGCTTCCTGCGCGTCTCTTAACTGTAGCTTAATCGCATCCCCCCCGCTCTCATCGTCGTGTCTGAGACACCTCGAACCGCCACCTCCACCAAATAGCGCTGCCTCACATCTTTGCTTCAGCCATTTACTGCGTTGGAAGCGTGTTCTCGACATTCCTTTTTCCACCCTCATTCATCATTGCCCTTGGGCTGGATCCAATCGGCTCCTCCACACGCTGTAAACCCAATGATCTGTTAGATCTGTCTGTGCGACCGTCTCAGTCTCCTTCCACCACTGACCTTTGTTCGCTTCGAACCATCAATTCGTCACCACCAGGGCACTTTGTCCTACGCAGCCTCCGAAGCCCGGGCTTTACAAAAAGCTGCGAAGCTACCATGGCCAGCAACATCATCGGCAACAGGAATAGCACCCCGGAGGCGTCCAAAACCTCTCTTCGGCCCCCCAGCTCCAGGACTATCGGCACATCCGGTACCCATACTCAAGCCGTCCGAACTTCAGCTGACATGTCTTTCGCCTCTCCTCTCTCGTCACGTTCCATACGCCCAGCCTCTGAAGTCTTATACAACCAACAATCTCAACAAGGCAGCATGGACGATTCAAGCAAGTTGGGAGAGCAGTGGATTCAGGATATTGAACAATATGAAACAATGTTGGAAGAGATGGCTGCGGCGACACTGGATCAGGACTTCAAAGACGAGTTGAGCGCGATCGAACAATGGTTTCAAGTCCTGAGCGAGGCGGAGCGCACTGCTGCCACATACGCCCTCATCCAGCAGACCACGCAAATGCAGCAACGATTCTTTGCTCAGGTTCTGAACCAGATGTCCAAAAGCCATCCGATTTCGGGCGTCCTCTCCCCAGCCAATTTTGGGGAAAAGGACGCAATGTCCAACCGGCTGAGCGACGCCATGTCCAAGTTGAATGTGGACGATCGGAGGACTTCTCTGACTCGACCACCAGTCTCCCCAGCCGGCAACAAGCGCAATTCGGGCTTGGATCAATCCACCATACATGCAATGTTTCCGGACGCTGTCGCCGCAATTCAGCAGCAAAAGGCCGAATACGCGCAACAAACAGGCAACCCGCCCCCTTCCAACAGAAACAGTACGGTTGTAGGAGACCGCAGTTCCCTAGTGGCGCCCACTATAGCTGCTCCGAGAGAGTCCAAGGCAGATGCCATGAGCTGGCGGCAGGGCGGTGGAGATACTCAACAGCCTCCGATATCGAGACCCAAGTCATCATCCGGCCAACAGGGGCAGCATCAGCCAATGGGCCAATTTAGTCAACCTGCATCATCTGGTGGCCTTCGTTCTCCGCGTCCTCTGGGCGGCTCGGGCGGTAATATTCAGAGCACTACATTGACCGCTCCGGACCCGGCATCCAGCGATATGCCCCTTCTGTCTCCTTACAACGTGGGCAACCAGAGTTGGGCTTCGATGACCAATACCCCCATGGTCCCGAACTTCAGCCAAGCTCAATCCCATACCGAAATGGTGGCCAACGCTACCGCCATGAAACTCGCCGCCTTGTCCACGGTCAACAACAGGATTGCCCTGGACGACGTCAAGAAATTTCGTCGTGCTCGGTCTAACGAACCTCAGCCACCAACGCAACCACCGCTGACCCCCGGGCTTGCAGCTTCTGGCATCCCGGGAATCAATACTATCATGGTAAATGATCACGGCCAAATCCTCAATGCTCAACAAGTTGCCGCCATTCAAGCGCAGCAGATCGCCGCTGCACAAGGACGCCGATCTCGACCTAATTCTCCTGGACTTCCATTACAGACGCCTCTCGGTCAAACCGCGTTTGCGTCTCCTCAACACAACGGATTCTTGGCTGCATATGATGGCGCACCCATCATGATCGGTGCAGGTATGCCGGGGCTAGTCCCGCAAACAGGCATATTTGGTGGGGGCGGCGAAGGGTATCTCTCCGATCACTCGGACATCACCCGGGGCAGGTCGCCCAGAGGACGCCGTGGGAGCTCCAAACCTCCTGAGGATCCCACTGACCCCAATCTGCTGAAAGATATCCCGACATGGCTCCGATCGTTGAGGTTACACAAATACACTGACAACCTGAAGGACCTGAAATGGGAGGAATTAATACAGCTTGATGATAAGGGCTTGGAAGCACGTGGTGTGAATGCTCTGGGAGCGAGGAACAAGATGCTCAAGGTGAGTGATGGACTTGTCAAATATGGGCGATGACCACTAATTTCATTGTAGGTGTTTGAGCAAGTCAGAGAAGCCCAAGCGGAAGGGAAGCTGTAGAATGGCAGTTTCCGTGGTGGCCACACAGGTCATCATCTGCTATCCGCTCGACGTGCGGCTTTGTTTTTCTGAACTTTGCAAACATTGGAGACATGGGCGCTGTGCTTGACTGGCGAGGGACTGTTCCGGGGCGACGAGGGAATACTGGAGCTTGTTTCATGCTCTGAAACCCCCGATCGTCGGCCTACTTCTGCGACGGATTGGCATTTTGACAGGATCAGAATCTCGAGTGCGCGGCTGCTGGTGTAGTCGCCACCACCAAAAGGCCGGCCGAACGAATTTCGTCCACCTCGTTTGGTCGGACCAGGCAGGACCCTAGTAATTTCCAGTTCTTTTCGACCAAGACTGACCATGGATGGCGTGATGACTCGACGTCTTTTCTATATAGCGTGACGAGATAACCCATACCACCTACGAATCTTCTATGTAGAACATGCAAACAACTGGGCCCAGAAGAAGCGATTGTACACGCTTGATGTTCTCGTGGCTTTGCAAGAGTCAGGGGACTCATCTCGGCGTGAGTACTCTGTAGTTTTCTTGTGAGATGAGTAGAAGGGGAGGGTTCATTTCTGCGCTGCTCCTCTGCTTGATGTTCTTTGGGCCATGAGTTCCGTCTCCGTTGGCTACGCTCAGAAAGAGACACAGAGAGAGAATCTTGCTACGTATGCACTCACTCGAT